ACCTTGTAATGACTACTCTCTCGCTATTGCTATGCTAGACGTTAAGATGTGTTGTATTCCTTAGCTCCATTAATTCAGATCTTCACATGCCATGATCATCATGGCAAATCATCCTCATTCTCTTTGTGTTCATTTGATAAGGAACAAGTTCCACACTGACAGCTTCTTCCCATGAACTATTATTTCGTGGAATAAACTCCCAAGAGGATGCTTCCCCGACATGTTTACACTTGGTCTCTTCAGGACCAGGATCAATTGATATCTATCCTACACATCCTCATAATGTGCACCTCTTAATCTTTCCTTCACCCTCCCTTACAACAATATCCCTGAGCAACTCTCTATCTTGAGTTGATCTTGTATTCGGTGAACTATTTAAAAAAAATCTGCTGAAAAAGGACTATTTTCTATGTAAAGAAACTAATAGAAAATAATACTTAATTAATTAATTTGTAAATTAAATTTTCTAACTGTAAAGATGGAAGTTTCAGAATTTTTTTTTTCTGAAATTCCAGAACTTTTTATGGTTAGATTATTAACAGATAAAATGATTGCCACAGCCTAAAAGATAGGTTGTTAAATAGCAATCTTTTCAATTTTTGACACTGGACTCTCCTTTATGACACACTCTTCATAAACAATATGGTAACCGCCTCTTTCTGTACTTCTTTATCTTATTACGTCAAGAATCAAAGATTCCTTTGTAACAGAAACTGGGAATTGGTTTCACTCTAAAGAGAGAAAGACATGGAAACTAACAGCAGACCAGAAATTCTTTGAATGTCTAACTTGGGGTGTCAGGAGATTGATAACTGGTTTGCTTTATGATGTCTTGGCAAACGTATCTTATGAAGTTTGTAATTTTCAAGTTTTATCCACTTTTTATGTAAGGATTTTTTCACAAAATATCTTTTTCTTTCATTAAATCTTTTTCTTTCATTCATCTTCATAAAGATAAAGAACCATTTCTGTGTAGGAGAACTTTCACACCCAAATCTTATTTTGCAATTGATTTCAATCTTGGTTAATTCCAAGTTCATATTTAGGCATAAAGACAATTTTGAAAATTTCTATTAGGAAATTTTTCAGATGAACTGACATCATTAGAAAAAGAATTTTATTATGCAATATTATGCAATAAAATTATACAAGAAAAAGAATCTCTTTGCAAGACAAAATATGATCCATGTTTACTTGTTGAATGTTTGATTATTACTTTAACTGTATCATTACAGAAATCATATTATAGATTGTTATGGTTTAGATGGATTTTATTATAAATTGTTATGGATTAGATTTTAACTAATTTCAACTCTGTTTTTATTTTCTGATGACTGGTTTGTCGAAGTAGTTTTCCAAATTGTCCTGTATATTTACTGTTTGGTCAGACTCTCATCCAACTTTAATCATATATATATATATATATATATATATAATAGCTGGCCACTTGTATTCGAGGATACTCATCTATTAGGCAGCTAACCAATCCTTATTGCAGACTCTTCCTCAGGCACATTTGTGTTTGTTCAACACCCACAGAGCCAACCTGTGGTTTATACTACAACTATCCTGAGCATAGTTACAGTTTCTGGGAGAGAGTGTATTCCCTAGAATGATCAACAATCTGAACAACACCAGCACACTCAAACCCTCAGTCATGATGACTTGTGACTTTGTGCTAGCACAGCTATTGATGGCACTAAAGTGTACAGTCTACCCAATTTCACTCACAAGGCTTGGGTCAACCCGTAGTATGGTTTTCAAGCACTTTCCAGAGGTGCTGCATGCTGGGATCATCCCCTCTCCAGACCGATAACATCAGGAAGTCTCCTTCCTGACAAATTAACCATGGTGAGATTCGAACCCGGGTCTCATGGTCAGAAAGTGAATGTACTAAGCACTCATCCACACACCCATAAATATATATATATATATATATATATATATATATATATATATATAAATAAATATAATATATATATATAAATAAAAAAAAAAATGGTTGATAGTGATATTTCTGGAAGATAATTATTTTTTACGTATGCAGCTTTTTTAATTATAGTATTAGGATTGAGTTATAGAGAATTATTTTTATTAGAATAAATAATAAAAATAATCCTAAGTGATATGTAAATATCTAATTGTGTGTGCGTATGTGTGAGATATATTGCTTAAAAACAGCTTGAAAGAGGCCATTTGACCATCACAAGGGCTCACCAAAATTAACGATAACAAAACAAATGAAAGTTCCAGATAAAGTTCACTTTCTTCAGAAACAGTCATTCACTCCTGTAGTTCACTGCTACTAACAAGCAGGGATTTTTTTTTTCTCCTGGTGATGTCCATGCTGGCTGAAATTAATCGAGGAACCTAATTAAAAGAAGAAAACAAAAATATTAATATACAACACAGTATGCCTGATAATTTTAATTTTTAATATTTTTTATTGTTCAAAACATATATGCACCGTATATTTTTGCATATAAGATTTTCTTTAAATCCCAAAAATCACCCTTAAATATTGGGGGTTGTCTTATACTACAATTCTAAAAAAGAAACATTAAATTCTGAGCGATGTTTGTCAGTAGGATAACCTCAGCCTCAGTGCAATAAGCAATAACATACATGAAAAGATTCATTATTATTAAATAAACTGATAATATAAGTAATAAAACCATTTCTACTTTATCTTGCATAACTTTATAATAAATACCTATTTGAAGAATAATTCTATAACAATGAAAGCAACTTGTATGCACGCAAGCTCAGCTGAGAAAATGTGAACATTGAGTTACGATTGCATTCACAGCAATGGAATGTACTATTATTAGTAGTATTTTGTGATCGTCGATGAAGTAAATGGTCATTAGTTTCCCGTTTTGGATTGGGTTTCTAGTTCATTCTAAAAGTCTATTTCAGCTCTATACGCCTAATGTTTGTCCTTTCCTACACTAATATAACTCAACAGTAACCCTCTACTTTGAGTGGCTCTTGGGCCTTGTATAGGGTGAACTAGTAAAAAAAAAAAAAATCCCTCTCTACTCCTGTTGCAAATGATTTCATCTTCACTTTTGTAATATCATTTTTCATGTAATTTTCTTTTTAATGGTATGGTACTAATAATCACTGTAACTGTGAAAAACTAGCAACAGAATCCTTTCAAAATAATAATCACCTTATTTTAGTTTTTTTTCTGAAATGGCTGATAAATTGAAGGACTTGTATTTGATTGGCAAATATATACCCAATTTCCATAGACAATCTGTTTTTTTACCATGGACTGAACATACGAGTGATGAGGAAGTTTTATGGAAACAAAAAGTACACTTAGAATCAGAAAGAGACAACTGGCATTTCTGGGGCTCAGAATGAGGAAAGAGGACTTGGGGAATTTGACACTTACATGACATATTGCTTCAGCAGATGATCTACCTAACGAGCTTTTGTAAATAGCAGGGATTAGGAGAGATAGTGGAAGGACAGGAAGTTGTGAAGGGCCACAATCCTGAAGGAACACGGCACAGTGAAGAACTTCATAACACTGTAATATTAAATGTAAAGAGTTAGTGGTGGTGGCTTGTATGCTATTCCAATTATTAGGTTAATGAAATTAACCAAAAGAAAATGAAAGTTCAACACAAATACTTTGACTATTAGAATTGCAAAGCTGACAAAAAAGTTTTTCTTGTTACTATTGATTTGGTGATAGAGTAATTATGGGAAAGTGGTGTTTCCCTTCCTCAGTCTGTTAACTTTATTGCAAAAAGATTTTTTATCAAAATATCTTGTAATTGAGAGAGAAGTGAATTCATGCTTTTCTTAATATTATTTTTATGAAAATATCTGAAAAATCAACACAATCAGGCTCAGTCAAAATTTGAACTCAATTCTTTTTTTTCACTGCTTCACATTTCATGACACCTTCAGTTTGTTTATTTACAAAAATATATTGACTTTAGATAGATAAAAATATAAACCCCCTCCTGAATGTTACCGGTGGTCTTAATTTTACCACTTGAATGTTATGACTGTATTTAAAACCCACAATACCGAGACTATAATTTAATGCTTGCAATATGATATTTTCAAAGGATTCTATTTAGGTACATGAATAAAAAAAAATGGATACTTATACTTAGAATCAGAAAGACAATTGAAATTTGTTGTGAACTTAATGAGGAAAGAGGGCTTGGAAAATTTAACACTAACAAGATGTTGAAGGCAAAAGGGACAGAAGAAAGCCACAAATGACCTACCTAATGAGCTTGTGTAAATGGTTGGGAGAACAAGGATTAAGAGAGAGCAAAAAGACATTGCTAAGAGTTACAAAGTACAGGAAGTTGTGGAGAGCCATGATTGCCCACGTCATGAAGGGATCTTGAGATTGAGGTGGATGAATCTTTGGCCTTGTGAAACTTGCCCACAATGAAAAAGGAAAGGACAAGAAGAAAGCAGATAAAGCATGAATCCAAAGTTTTATATTTCAGAAATAGCTGCAGTGATTTTACAAAACCTTTTTTGGTTCTGTTTCTCATGAAGATAATTTTTGTACAACAGGAAATAGACTAGTCCCAGGAAGATTTCTTAGTGACTTTGACTCGGATTGTTACACCCAGCTGCTACTTGTATTATCACGTGGACTGCTTGGAGCCTGACTGAAAATCTGAATTGTGCCGTTTTTTGCTTTCATTGTATTTATCATTTTTATTTGTTGGTTATTCAGTTTGTGTCGATTTGTATGTTTTAAATGTGTTGGCTAATGTGAATTTTACAAGTTGGATATGCTTATCATAAACATGGCACAGAAATTTCTCAAAGGTGTGTTTTCAGGATTATCTTCAAGAACATGTTTAATCCATGTTTTTAAAGAATATAGTTGACATTTTTCTTTTTTTTTTTTTTTTTTAACAAAAAAGAAATAGAGGACAATTAGCAATGCATGATTTATATTAATATTGAGTTCTTAAAAATATTATTTAATAAAATATTTTTATTTTCAGGATGGACATGAAAGTAATTGGCATTTAGAACTTAATAATGATCTCCAACCAAATCTTCTGCCAGGTAATTATAATCATACTTATTATAAAACCCAGGTTGTGTGTGTGTCTGTACATTTATATATTGGATCGGATTTCCTACATTTTTCAACCGATTTCAACAAAACTTCACAGGACTACGTAAAATTACCTTGTGCTGGTTCTGACAGCGCCAAAAATTGGAAAAACACAATTGTTTTTGCACAAAATCAATTTGAAAACACGATTAAGAGACATCGCTGTCGCAAGAATGAAGGGGGACAACTCATATCGAGTTATACTTATTATAAAACCCAGGTTGTTTGTGTGTGTATGTGTTCGTTTATATATGGGATCGGATTTCCTACATTTTTCAACCGATTTCAACAAAACTTCACTTTTTTTTGGCAGGTAGTGTTTCTTATTGTCTTGCACACTTTTTTCTTTATTTTTACATTCAGAATGCTTTAAAAATTACATTTACAAGGCAATTGTTTATAATAAAATTCTATTCAATCGGTAGACTCATAACGATTGAAAACAATGTTTTTGTTTGAGTTTGACCAACTTGTAAAAAAAACAAAACAAAAAAAAATAACTAATTAAGACATGCGTGTCCATCAACGTTAAACAATTATCTTTGTCAATTTTATTTTTCAGTCTTTATGATGGTCGATACTTGATCTATCTCTTACTGTTACCTCCCCAGGCAACGCCGGACTCTACTGCTAGTTATTTTATAAATTCAAAGTTTAAATGAAATTCTTTTGTGATTTTTATTTTCTTTCTCTCTATTTTCCCCATTTTTATTTTTATTTTTAAAAAATTTTTTTTAACAAATTTCAGAATGGTACTAGAGTGGTATGAATCATAATAACTGTTTCCGTATAAGGAAATATTTGGAATTCATTGACTGAACAGCCATTAATTAAAATGTATAAAATCTTTCTCTCAAAACAATTCTTCAGGAAAATAGGTTTCTCAAGTATACTCTTTTTGTGATGCCAATGAATACTTGTCACTTTTGTAATGCTCGTTGTAGTAGAGACTTTGTAATCGCAGATACAACTTATAGTATGCCATTGAACAATATTGGTGTCAGATGCCTTCAAATAGCACTCACACTAATAGTACTTGCTTGATAATACTAGCTCGAATAGTAATCTGTATAGTGATCTAAATAGAGTTCAGAATAGCAGTCCATATAGTAATAGAGTAGAGATGGTGAACCATATAGAGGATAGACTAGAAATGTAGATCAATTAGATGTCACAGAAGAAGACTTGAAGCAACAGAAATGTTGTTCTACAGAAGGATGCTGAGAATACCATGGACTGAACATGTGAGCAACAATGAAGTTTTAGAGAAAATAGAAACAAAATGTCATACCTAATATCAGGAAAATATAGTTGAAATTCGTAATTCATAATGAGAAAAGAGAGCTTAGAAAATTTAATACTCACAGGACAAATTGGAAGTAAGAGGAACAGAGGAAAAAAATGCATAACATACCTTGCAAACTAACGAAGTGATAACAAAGACAGAATTTATTAAAATCTACAAAGGACAGGAAATTGTGGAGAGCCATTTCAAAGGAGGCCTACATATTTGTTCATGTGTGTATTAGTTTAGATTGAATTTCGTTAGAAGGGGTTATAAACTCTCAGCAACTAATTTGATTGGATGGAAAATATATTTAATCTTTCACTGCCAAATTTTCACTTGTTGCTTGGACATGCTTCTACGTTCCTATCCTTTGATGATGAAAAATCATCAATTTTGTGTTTGACCTTTTGAAAAGTGTAGCAAAGAAGAGGGTTACATCAATGAACAAAGCTGTTGGGTCTTGTATCTGCTGAAACCAGGGACTAAACTTGGACTTTGTTTTTAACTCTTTCATAAAGAGCTTGACAGCTTATGCAAATATTTGTTTGACCAATTATGGGCATCTCTAGTATGTCTAGGCTTTTGGTTTTAGCATTGGGAGAGTCTTTTTTTGTGTGCCTGGTAGCTGATTTTGAGCATCCTTTGGACTTGGAAACATCTTTCTCATATAAAGAGTAAGGCTAATTGTTGCAGTATGTCTCTATATCAAAGATGGAATTTTGAAAATGGCCAAATTCAGCTGCTTTTATTTATTTTGTTGTGTTCGTAATACTGTAGTGATTAAACTGTATTAAGGTGAAAAAGGAATATTTTGAATATTTAATTACATGTCATCTTTATTGTAATGGTACCATAAGTGTGGTGATTTACTGAGTTGTATGATTTTAACAATTGTTACTTTTTTACTTTTAAAAGTCAATCTCCTGTTGATTCTAAGCTCAAAATACCACCAAGATGAAAGGGATTATTGGGAATGGAAAAGAATGAGAAGACTTTAGTGAGGAAAAAGGACAATAAAAGAACAGGATTCAGGAAGACAGAAGATTGCTATTGACATTGCATTTAAATTTTGAAGATTGTAGGTGGCAGGGAAGCAAGAAATTGAAAGACTTCCACAAGTGAGAAATGCAGGAAAAGAATGTAACTTATGGTTACGTCTAGCTATTCCACCAGTAAAATGATGAGACCTAACTGCCAATCTAGTAGTACGCTTAAATTCATGCAGTTGGGGTACCTTGCAGGAGAGCTCATTAGAACATATCCTATGAAGATATTTATAGAAAAGACAGAGGGAAACCACATCATGTTGATGGGAAAAGTGACTGAAGTCGTGATTACATTACAAACCCTTTGGATTTTGTCCAGTTATTTGCTATGAAAGGAATGAATATATTTCTAAGTTAATAAGGACGTAACTGTATATTATATTTAATCCAGACTTTATTTTTTTTTTTAAACTGAAATATATTTTATTTAGCTTGTATTCAGTTAACCAAATATGTTGATATGCCTTCACTGCTCAAAGCCTGATTAACATAAAAATTAAAAAAAATCTTTGCCATTCCCTGCCACCAAAAAAAAAATCTTAATTTGAAAGCAGAACAAAGAATTTGGATCCTTTTTCTACTCCCTTCATCAGTTGACCTAACTCTGTTCTCACCATATTGTTTTGTTTAAAGTTTGAAAGATCACAATGTTTTAGAAAGACATTTATTTCCAAACAAGCTAAGAAAATTGTTTTTCATTAATGCCATCATTTTTTTTCTCTCTCTTTGTTCACTTGATAGAATGCAAATATTGTATGTCTAAGCACCATACGTTTTATGTCCACCAGTATGCTATTCTGACCCACTGATACCAGCCAAACCAAATATCTGTACTAAAGGACACAGTCTAAAGCACAATAACCCACAATCCACTGATAAACATAAACAAATGTCATAGTATGCAGGTATCTCTTTCTCATGTTTCTTCATGATGTTGGTGATCATGGTTCTCCACTGTTTCCTGCCTTTTGTAGCTCTCAGCAATATTATGACCTATTTTTATCTTACAGTGCATATTTCACTATTCAAAATTGCTAACTCAAATACTGAATTTTTTCTTTTCCTTTCCTTGCCTTTCATGTACCCTGGGAGTGTTTGATTCTTAAAGTTTTCTTCCCTCATTTGTAGTCAAGATGGTAATATTAGCTGTTTCCTTATAAGGAAACATTCCGCTTTCATTGACCAAATAACCAGTGCTACTTGAATTACACTTTTCTTTACTTCACTTTTCTTTCTCTTGGCTGGGATCAAATGTAGTATCTGTTCTACTCACCTCTAATGGTTAATATAGCCATTTCCTGATAAGGAAACATTTGATATTCATTGACCAAGCACCCATTTTCTACCTTCAGTTGAAATTAATAAATGAATACAATATGGAAACCAGTAATAAGGAGTGCCAGAGAAAAGCGATAACAACAACAAAAATTGCAATATGAGCTCTGGCAAAAACATGCAATGATAACAGCTGAAGACATTTTGTTTATAATACTCAGAAATTCATACACAGATGCCCTCAAGGACACATGACACAGTGGATAAAGGCATTAGTTAGATCCAGTGACAGTGGGAGTTCAATACCCGGTTAAGGCAGTTGAGACCTTGGATAGTGGAATTAACAGGAGATAACTGACAACTGACATCCATTAAACATGGCTTGTGGAACTAGAACAGTCTACCCCAACGAGTGAAATAAAGGGTTCAGTTCAATATTCCAACCACCTGAAGAAGGCCAGAGCATACAATGGCCAAAACGTTGTAATAAATATGGTAACAAAGATGAGGACAATAGTCTGAATAATGTAAATAGTGAAATTAATAAAATCTATTCAAACAATTTTTCAGGAAAATAGCTTTTTCAAGTGCACTTGTATTGCTCTTTCCAGTATTGATGAGGGCTTCCTTCCTAACCATTTGCTTGAAGTACTGTGGAACTGTCAACATCTTGACTGTCATTATTTTCTTTGAGGTACATGTGATATCTATTTTAGTTGTTGCTGCTGTTGAAATTCCTCAAGTGATATAGTTTCTGTTATTTGTTAAAGTTCTTTCTTTGTGATTCTGTAGCATCAACTACAAGGTTCGAAGAAGAAAGTGTCTATACTAAAATCGGCATTCACTTGAAGCCATTTTTAATGATTGATTGGAGAAAGCTGACTGTTTAGATATTTCTGAAGAAATTTGGCACCATGTGTGACAGCCGCTAGATGCCTCAAAAATGTCAGATTTTTTTTTCTTGATTGTTAGCAAGTTTATTTATTTATTTTTAGTTCCTATTTTCCTTAGAACTTTCTCATTTGTCACATGTAAACAATACCATGGACATTGTCATTTTTCCGTTTGGAATGAAAATGGTCAGTCTTCATTGGCATATAGTAGAATAAACATTACAAAACAGTCTTGTAACTTTTTCTTCTCTTTTAGTATTATTTTTGGGGATCCCTTATTTAGTTTCAGAAAAGTCTTTTGTTATTTGTAGTCATTCTTCCCATTGTCTCTTGTAACCTCACCCTGAGGGATTGACATTGTCAGTTGATTTTTTTTTTTAATTTTTAAAAATTTTTTCAAGTTTTTTTAAAATTTTTTTGATATATTAATTTTTTTATAATTTTAAAAAAATTTTTTATTTATTAAAATTTTTTAATTTTTTTTTTTTTTTTAAATTTTGATTTTTGTTTCTTAAATATTGATTTTTTTTTTTTTTTTTTTTTTTTATTTTCAATTTTACTTCCTCAATGCTTAACACTAATTTGTTGCTGACATTTTTGATCACCTTTAAATGTTGTCTTTTTTTTTAAATTCATGGCTTGTCATTGTAATTAGAGATCTGAAATATAAAAAAGATCAAGATATTCCTTAATTTTTAATAAAACTTCATATTTGTTTCTGTCTGTATTTCTGGAATGAGGAGTTATTATTTATACTATTGTTCTACCCTCTAGTCTCCATTACTTTTGTCTATCTGTCTTAATAAAGTGAGTTCCGAACTGCATCCATTATATATATTCTCGTTCAACTGCTCATATCTAGGGATATCTTGTCTGGTTCTTATTTTTAATACTGCTTATTTATTGCTTACCCTGTTCCACATACATATAGGAATTGAACTGACAATTGCTAAACTCATGAAACTCATAAAACCACTCCTTTAATCCTCTAGGCTATTGTTCAATGGGACAATCCTGAGTGTAGAACTTGGAGCCTTAAGCCAAACTTGTCTGCTGATGAGTGATGCTGCAGCTTTTCATGCTTGACTGTACTCACTGAAACTTTTCTCTTTTGTTACAGCTATTTATTTGTTGATATTATTGTTTTTATGTGTAAATTTAATTGACAATATAAATTTGTAATGTATTTTTTCTTTATTCCCCAGGTGAGGGGACAATTTTCAGCCTGGATAAAGTCCTCAAATTTAACTCCTTCATGAATCTTAAGCACGGAGTATCTGGAGCTCTCCATATCACCAATTACAAATTGTCATTTGTAACATCAAGTAAATTACCAAAAGGAGTAAGTATTTTTGTTGATGTTGGTTTCTAGAGAATCGCTATAAATGACAGCAACTCTTACTTTTTGACTTTTGCTTCTGTCAATTCCAATAGTAAGTTGTCTAGTAATTTTGATTAAAGACCAAAAAGAAAAACTATAAAAAGATTATTCTTATAGATCTTCCAACTCGTTATAGGTGACCATTGCTTTAGGATCAGTTGACTGTAGTAGAAAAATCATTTGACCTTTTTGACATGGTTCACTGATAATTTTGGGTTTGGGAGGAAATAAATAAAAAGAAAACTTTAACTTAGCTTATATTGTTATTACTGATTGTGAAATATTAAAAATGTTTGTTGAAAAATTGTAATTTTGAATTATTTCCATCATTGAATCATCCTTGTTTCTTCTGTATTCCAAACGTATGCAACTCTCTTGTGTGAATACTTACTTGAATACTTACTTGAATACTTACTTGAATACTTACTTGAATACTTACTTGAATACTTACTTGAATACTCAAGTCAATACTTAAACTCAAGTCAAGGGATGATCATTATCTATCCTCTTTATCCTCACTCTGTATCACTTTTATTCATATCACAGACTTCATTCAGCATAACCATTTTAACAGTAATGATCTACCTCGAGTGACTGTTAAGATTTGTGTTAAGGGAACCTTAGCATAAAAAGCGAAAAGAAATACTTCATAATGTGTTTTTTATATATATATATATATGTGTGTGTGCATACATATATATATATATATATATATATATATATATATATATATGTGAAAATATATAGAAAATAGGAAGGAACTGGTTAGGTAAATAATCCAAAGTCCCTTAGTATTTTAGTTATTATTTTTAAAAAATAGTGCTCGATACAAAAGTAGAGCATAAATATAATTATTTATTTAAAAATATGATTCCAAATCGCGACATAAGAAGTCCCTTGTTTCAAAACAAGAGTCGAAAACTTCAATATAATTATTTAAATTATTTAAATTAAATTGAGTTAAAATAAGCTCTGTTCCATCTTCAAGCGAAATTTTTTTTGGAATAACGTATTTCTGAAATTTACGTGTTTTAAAAATTGAAATCAAAATTTCCATGGTAACAGCTAGGGCGAATTGTTTAAGTTGGGTAGGCGGGTGTTGGGTGTTAATAATAAGTATCAGTGTATATATATATATATATATATATATATATATATATATATATATATATTTTGCACTGATATATGCAACCATAAGTAAATTTGAAATTTAAAAATTAATCAGTTTGTCTGACGGTGCAAATAGCATGAAACCCAGGGTCGCAAACTCGCATTAATCCAACTAAATATATAATTTTTTTGCACATGAACAGAAGCTTGGTACCATTTGTGCTAAATGTTCTCAGCTTGTCTGACTATTTAGTAAGCTTAATTTAGTCTTTGAGAAGATTAAATAGGGAAAAAATAAGCAAGATAATAAGATGGTATTGCACCAATCAGCTAAATTGGGTAATGTTGCCAGTCTTTCACCAGGGTTCAAGCCTTACCATTATTGCAGTGATAAGGCCAGAGAAGTGAAACAGATATTGGGAAAATAATAGGTTGTGAAACTTTTGCCAACTAGAGAGAGCCTATTTATACTATTTACATTGTTCGGACTGTTGTCCTCATCTTTGTTGCTATATTCACAATGTTTCACTGTTGTACACTCTGACCTCCTTCAGGTGACTGGAATTTCAAACTGAACTCTTTATTTCATCCACTAGACGCATGGCCAAGTGGATAAAAGCACTGGTTGAATCCAGTGACTTGGCCCAAAGAGTTGTGAGTTCAATACCTGGCTACAGCAGACGTGAACAAAAACTTGGAGTGTTAATGGTAGATAACTTATACTGAGACACCTAGAAAAGGCATGGCATGTGGAACTAGAACAATTTATCCTGGTGGACAAAATGAAGGGTTCAGTTGGAAATTGTAATCACCTAAAGAAGCAGCGTGAATATGGCAACAAAGATGGACAACAGTCTGAACAATGTAAATAGTGTAAATAATTACAATACCTCATCTCAGAAATATAGACAGGAGAGGGCCTGTTTGCTTGGAAAAATCAAAACTTGAAAACCTTGTCTTTAGCTGGACTCAAACACTGACCATTAATGCTTGTGGTGGTAAGTTGCAACAACCTCAGCTATAAGGTAGACTTTTAGCCTGTTTGTAATTGATTTTTGGATAGTGAAGAAAATTAAAAAAAAAAAATGGTAGCTGTCATTCATTCTTTTTTTTTTTTTGTGAACTTACCAGTTTAACAGTTTTTTTCATAACTTTTTTCCTTTTCTTTTTTCTAATGTATCTGGTGACCTGATTGTTTTCTGTATATCTAAATTATTTTCGATTTGAAATTTCCCTTTTACTAAATGACTTCTGTTTTCATGACTGAGTTTTATTTATTATAAACATTTTTCCTCAGATCTTGTGTTAATGGAACTGACATGTTTTTTTTGTTTTTTTTAAACACAAAGGAAAGTGAAGTGATTTAACTGAATTAATACATACAAAAAGCAAGATGGGTTAACTTCTGTTATCAAGGTAATCCCAAATAGTCCACCATGAAAGTAATTTTAAATACTCTGCTAACATCATGTGGACTGTGTATGTTGGTTTGATTAAAAACCAATAAAATGTCCTTTTTGTTTTATTTTTTCAATGTTTTTAATTTTTTATTTTAAGTTTAGATTTTCCTATGATTGAGCAGTTTCAGCTAATGCTAGCCAGTTTCAAGTACTTTCGTGTTTGTCATCCATTTAATTTAAAAAAATATTCATATGTTGGCTTTTGTCCCTTTTTGTGTATGAGAGTGATTTCATGTCTTTTTATTATATATTTTTTATTTTTTTATTATTCTTATTTTTAAATGAAGTCAAAAATCTGAGAACCACCTTTTAAAAATAAATCCATCCTTAATTTCATATATGAACTGAACATAAATAACAAAAATCCTTTCCTAGATTTATCATTGACTTAAATAGTGAAAACTTTAAAACATTTCTGATTATAAAAAGTCAACCAACTTAAACTCATGCATACTTAAATACAACAGATATATCCACGCAGATCCAGAATAAATCCTTGTAAATAATTTAATGAGAACTCATTTGTAAATTTAATAATGAGAACACACTTGTAAATAATTTAATGAGAACACATTTAATATCCTAGACAATATTTTTAACAAACTCATAAACACTAATTAACAAAAAATTTTCCAAAACAGTAAACAAACTAACATTAGAAAAAATAAAAAATAATACAAATAAAAATAGGATAAAAACATTATTAAGCTATTCCACAGCAATCAACTACACAGTGACCTCAAACTAGACAGAAAATTATAAGAAAACTAGACAGTATAATATAAAATTATGCTATGCATAGAAACATATCAACCAATGACAAAAATAAACAAATTAAACTCCTCTTTTTATTATAAAACAACTAAAATCTCCAACATGATAATCAAAACAAAAAAAAATTCAAAACTAATACTGTCTATGAATTCAAAAGCCCAACTGGAGAGTGCTTTCCCTTATAACAATTGAAACACCTACATTGGTCTCACTACTACAACATTGTCATGCAGTTTAACTTGCTAGTTATTTAACAATAGCTCCATTCAATCACATACCATCAATGAACACAAAGGAAAATCTCAAAGCAAAATCAGACAAATCCTTTGTAGCAACTCTGTTACTTTACCATGTAACCTGCAAAAGGCATCTACAGTTGCTTGAGACATTCAGCATAAAAAGTAAGAAACCAAATCATATCAAACCTTGCACTTTACTAAATATATTTCATTAAAAAAACTCCTACATGAATGTGATAAAAGCTTGCAAAATATATTTAAAAAGAAATGAACATGACACTTTAACAAACGATCAAATGAAAATGGCGATCATTAGTTGAAAGTGCTTAGACATAGGAAAATACATTTACAAATATGGACTGGAAATAAAAAAAAAAAAAATCTTTTGTTGTCTTTTAATCAAACATGCATAAATGAACAGTTGTTGCCCAAAATTGGCTTTCCAGATCCTTCCAAAGTTTTCTCCTTTTCTTTCATGCCCTGTAACCCATTATGTCTTAGTAGTATTATTGCCTTTCATGCCCTGTAACCCATTATGTCTTAGTAGTATTATTGCCTTTCATGCCCTGTAACCCATTATGTCTTAGTAGTATTATTGCCTTTCATGCCCTGTAACCCATTATGTCTTAGTAGTATTATTGCCTTTCATGCCCTGTAACCCATTATGTCTTAGTAGTATTATTGCCTTTCATGCCCTGTAACCCATTATGTCTTAGTAGTATTATTGCCTTTCATGCCCTGTAACCCATTATGTCTTAGTAGTATTATTGCCTTTCATGCCCTGTAACCCATTATGTCTTAGTAGTATTATTGCCTTTCATGCCCTGTAACCCATTATGTCTTAGTAGTATTATTGCCTTTCATGCCCTGTAACCCATTATGTCTTAGTAGTATTATTGCCTTTCATGCCCTGTAACCCATTATGTCTTAGTAGTATTATTGCCTTTCTTGGGGATGAATTCATTGATTTAAAAAATAAAATAAAATTGACTTTAAGTATTTTCATAATTCGTTTATGGAAGGTTATAAATTTAAAAGAAATCAAATCAGCTGCTAATTAACTTCTAACATTTTGCCAAGAATTGAAAATTATTTTCTTCTTTTGATTTTGTTTATTTCTTAAATTCCTCTTCGATGAAATGAAAAGCAAATAAATAATTTTTTTGTTTGCTTCTTAGTCTATTCAGTCAGGTTTTCTCAGATGTAAAACAAACAAATGGAAATTATTAATTTTGTGTTTTTTTTTTTTTTTTTTTTTTTATTGACAAATCCTGCTAAAGCTGTCAATTTCTTTTCTATTGTAGCTTGGATACAAACTTCAGAATTCTGTAACTTGTGAAAATGACATTCCATTCACAAACATTGATTGTATATATCAAGGTAAGTTTTATTTAATTTATTTCAATTCTTTATGCTTCAGTTTGGTTAATTAAAATAAATTACTATTTGCTCTTATACACACACACACACACACACATATAATGGTCTACTGAAATGATTGATATTACATATATTTTTGCTTGTGTGAATTTAAGATAACTTATAATTTAATCTTTCTTTTATTGTGTGTGAAATAATTTCAGATATTGTTTTCATGAGAAAAATTATAATTTTTACTTTGGAAAGTCAAATGCAAATAATTTCTAGCATTTTTTTTCCATAGTTCAAATTAAGGAGATTTATTTAAAAGTATGCTTTGAACTTAGCATATTTTAAAACCAAGAAAATGCATAATGACTGACTATAATTTTATCTTTGACAGAAATTAATTAACACTACTGTTTTAAAATATTAATTTTGTTTGACAAAAATGGTGGGGAGGGGTTTGCAAATTTCTCAGTCTGACTCGCTTTCTTAAATATGACCAAATATAGTAAATTGGCTTTTTTTCTTTTTCTTCAGAGGTTTTCTTAGTTGGGTGGAGAGCTTTTCAGTATCCTCTCAAAATGCACCCTACCCCCAACATGCACATAAGGGATGCTGAAAGATTCATGGCCTTGATACTGATTTTTTTTTTTTTAATTGGATCAGGCAAAGAAATTTTCAGCACCACACACATTATACACAATAAATAATTTTTTTTTTTTTAATTATGACTGTCTCAATTAAGTTTTGCTGAGTAACATCCATTATTCAGTTGACGTGAACTTAAATTCTAAATAATTTACCATCATGTCTCCTGAAGAATGGATGTAATTTCACAAAACTCAGTGTTAAGATTATCATAAGATAAACGAACAGATTTATTTATTATGCTCTGACTCTTGATATCAAACACTCTAATTGCACAGACTGCTTGCCTTAAAAACGTTATCTGCCATAATTTCCTTGGTCAACTATTTTTTTTTTTTTTTTTTTTTTTTTTTTTTTGGCAATATAAAATCTTATATATTATCTACAAGTATTATTTATATTTTTTTTTGAGTTTGAGAAAAGAAAATTCTTTTCTGTACAAAAAAAAAAAAATTCTTTTCTGTATCCTTGAGATCAGATGAGTTTGGATGTTGGGATGGAATGGTTTTGGATGGTTGTAAGTATATACTATAAACTGAAATTTTCAAGAGCCAAATGTCCATAGCATACAATATTCATAAATATTGTGAAACTTGAATATTTGCACTGAGTATGCAAAAGACTATAAATTAGTTTATTTGTATATAGTAAGAATAAAGAAATTTCATAAGATTAACTAGTGTACTCTTTTTTTTATAGATTAAACATTCAGTTCAGACTTTATAAACAGGATGAAACAAATCTAAACAGTAAACAATAAAAATTATAAGTGAGCCATAAAGACTCATTGGTGGGACTCTGAAACTGAGCTGATTCAGAGGTCAAATTTTGGTGCCAGATGTGAACTTTGGTGTGCAGATGATCTTCACACAAATAATTTTGAGCTACAGAGATCTTTTGGCAAACATGGACCTTCATGCCCACAAAAAAAATGATGTCAAAAGTCTGTTTTTTTTTCTTTTGACACTGCTATCATTTTAACTAAATTCACTCCTCAGTTTATTGCTTTAAAAAGCAATAGTTAGAATTATAATAAAAGCTAAACATGGTGAAAGTGGATTTATATATATTTTTTTTTTGTTGAAAAGTTACAAAATTTATTATATTGTTTATTTAAAAACTAATAACAATTAAAGCTAATGCAATATTTATCATTTACTAAATTGTTAAAATATATCAACCAACTATAAGAAAATCCTTATTTACTATTTTATAAAGTTCAAATGAATTGGCAATTAGGCAATGTTTTGCCAATCATTCAAACAATATAATAAATACAATTCTAATCATCACTTTTTAAAACAATAAACATTGTTAAGGGGTGAAGATAGATAAAATAAATGCAGTGTCATGGGAAAAAATGTCTTTTTCTGTGGGCTTGAAGGTCTAAATTTGTCTGTTTTTTTTTGTTTTTTTTTCTTTCCAGAATTTTGTATAAGATAATGTGAACCTGTATTAAATAATGAAATAAATTTGTTCTAATTTTAATTCTATTCTGTATAGTTCCATAGTATTTGTTTTGAAGCATCTTTATTTACTAGTTTTACTCTGACTTATTATTGCCTTTTGTACCAACAACATGGGTGGATAAAATTCTTTGACTGCTTGAGTAAACAGAAATTACAAAAGAAGATTCCTCTATACTATGCCATGAAAGCTCATCATTCATGGATATCACCAAAATCATTTCATCCAAGGAAGCCAATGACAAAGCAAAGTGCAAATGGACACTCCTTACTCTCCTATTTTCCCTGCCATCTTTGTTTTATTATAAAATTATTGGTGCTATTGTAGTATATTTCTTTTTTAGTGTTCATTCTACTACAATGTTTCTAATGTAGTGTCTTTCAAAATTTATTTAAGGAATTTATTTAGTACAGTATAAAACTTTTATTCATTTACACCTGTTTATTAAAAAGATATTGAAAATATTAAGGAAGTTGTGCTCTTTCAGAAATGCATATTTGTCACAAGAAATGAGTTTGGTAAAATTCTTTGGCAAGCATCTTTTTTGATTTTATAGGGTCTTATATTTATTTTTTTAACTTCAGATCAATGACCCATGGGAAGATTTCTCACTCAAATGCTGAGGTAGATGACATATAATATAGTAGACCTCAAATACTGAAGTAGTCTGCATACTACAATAGCACCAAAATATTTTTGAAATTTTTTTGATGAACATTTTCACTTTTATTTTATTTCCCATCTTATTGCTGTTTTGTCTTAACAGCCATATCATGCTGAAAAGTTCCTGTACAATCGGTGAAGTTAAGCAATGTCAACCCAGTCAGTACCTTGATGGGTGACTGTTTGAGAATATCAGGTGTTGTAATTTTAGATGTACCAGTGGTATTGTGGATAATGGCTTGGAATTGTTAATTGGGAAGCAAAGTTTCAATTCCTGTTGGGTTTGTTATATTCACTTACATGTAAATACCCCTGGGAAAGATATGAATCCACAGCTTCTCCCAGCTATGGGTTAATTAATAAGACTGTATCACTAAACTGATATCTAAAAAAAAAAAAATAAAAATAAAAAGATCTGCAAAGGGTTGATAAGTAGTAGGAAATGGATCAATCAACCGATTGCTTTATGAAAAGTAACAATAACAAGATTTATGAATTTGATGGCATAGTAATTGTGAGTTCAATCCCTTTGGTCAGGCAATGCAGACTTAGACTTGGGGGTAAATTGGGGTGAACAGTAACTGAACAATAGTAAATAGGAACTTTACGACATATCCCTGTTCAGTCGACTGAGAAGAATTTACCTGTGTAGATTGCATAAATAGAGGGTTCATATTTGAAATTCCTTGAAGGTTACACAGATCGAAATAGATCTGATTAAGTCTTGAGAGTACAATGACCGAAACTTTGTGATAACAACAAAGATGAGGACAAAAGCATATAATATAAATAACTCCTCATCCCAGAAATTCAGACAGAAATTTTGCTTTGGAAGTTTATCTTTTCTGACGACCCAGAATGTTGTGGCAAAAAGCAATAATAAAATAGAATAAAACAAGTAATAAAATAAGTTATATCTTCCATATTTGGATGAGTATTTTTCTTCTTTTACTTTAAAAAATCATGTCTTAAACTCTTTCTCAATATGCTGAGATTTGTACATTGACATAATTATGCAGTGCCATTTTTTTTTATTTTATTTTATTTCTTAAAGTTTCTATTTCTGCCCCTGTAAATTTATCATCTTATCTCGAAACATCTTTTAAGTGTTTACCTTTGTTTTATATACCTTTTTTGAATATAATGTTTTTTCCCATCAAAAACCAAGACTTCTTTTTTGCTTTTTTAAGCACGAGGTGCTTATCATCAGAGGAGAAGGTCTTTCTCCTCCTCCTTTTCCTCCTCCTCCTCTTTCTCTGGGAAAAAACGTATGAATAAACACATTTTGTTTCACCTCTTTGCTTTATTTCATCCACCTCCTTTCCAAATGCATTTAAAATATATATATATATATATATATATATATATATATATATATATATCTGCTTAACTGCACTAACCTTTGCCACAGCCTTTAACAATTTGCCCTCTGTCCAAAATATTTACGAATGAGCAAGTGACAGGAGTTTAAAACCAAACCATTCATTTCTTTGCATGTAATTCCATCTGAATTTCTAATCCAGCTAAATCTGGAAATGTTAAGTCAGACCTCATTTCTGTTCATCTCCTTTTTAAAATGAAAAAGAAAAGTCTGAATGAAATTGGGTTTTGTATCAAACTCAACTCTGTAAATATTTTTCTCAAACATCTCATGTGCATGCACATGATCCAAAGTAATGTAGACTGCCTTTAATAACAGCTATGATGATTATGTGAAAATGCTTTTATAATAAAGAATAAATGTTACGTCTTCTATCCCATAATAGCTGTTTTATCTACTGCATCAAATGTGTATACTATATTATGGGATAGAGGTTATATCATCATAGAATGTATGATATCTGTCCTATTATACTGGTTACATTTGCTTATGCATTTCATACACTAAGTGTATCAACTATTCTGGGATGGAGGTCGTATAATAGAATGTACAATCACTGTTCCATTACATTTAGTGTATGAAATGTGTATGTAAAGGTTGCAATTATTCTGGGACAAAGATATGATAATAAGGTTCCAAAAGAAAATCCTAAGATGATTGCTTAAATGAAACTTTATTTCTAAGTGTTATAATGCTTTCACAGTAAGACAGCATTTCATTTGTATTGTTGAGCAACCGAGTTAAAAATATCAATATCTTTTTTTACTTTATTATGTAACAATTCTTTTCATTTTCAATTTGTAATTAAATGTATTAGTGTGCATATTATTTGTTTTCAAGGTTTTTCCATCAGAAG